GATGTAGTAGAATTTATATCGCGTCCGGGTCACCAATGTGAGGACAGGATCGTTCGACTATGTCAATCTTCATCTATCAAAAGGTACCCCAAGTTTGAATCAAGTTAGCATGTCTTATACACTAGTGAATTGATGAGTAATAATTGTAGTGGTAGATCGTAGTGGTGTTGATTGTAGTAATTTAAATTGTTTAGAAGGAGAAAAGTACATAAATAACTTTCTGGTAAATTAAGCCTACAGAAACGTTTCTGTTGTTCCAATAAAGATCTTATTTTCCTTATAACGAGAATCTAGTAGGTAATAAACAGATTACCTCTTTAACTTGAGCAATGAAACAATTTATTGTACTTTACTAATGGGCTAATCCCCTGTTCACTGACGGTCGCCAACCCCGATGATTGTTTTGCAATAATTGTTGTTTCTGTTTCTTGGCATAAGGCAATTGAAATTATTCTACTAAAAATACATGTATTAGAAAAAACATTTGTCACGCCACTTTACAGGTCCTGTTAAGATCTGTTTTTAATTTAATATTTAATCCTGTTAAGATATACATTTCAATTTCCTGTTAAGATCTATAATTTCCCCATTAAGATCTATTAATGAGCATAAATCATTTTTCGAAGTAATCATTTTTGGAAATAACATTTGAAAAATTAAAAGTATTGTTATAACAAATTTGGTGTGTTGACAACTGTGATTTAATATTTTTGCTTATCAAACGAACGGTTGTATATCTAAAATACAATTTTCAGATTCTTCACTTTGTGCATGAAGCTGAAAGTTAAGTTCTAAATCATTCATCGAATCTTTCTAACCGTAATTCATAATAGTATATTAATGTCATTTGCACTAAAAATTAATAATTGTTAAACAGTTAATAAGATCAGACGTCGATTTGAATAACTTCATCTCAAAATGTAACGTAAAATTACGTTATTTTAATAATACTAATAATAAAAATCTGAAATTCCTGATTTAGAAAAGAAACAAATTCGGAAACGTAATATTAACAGTACCTTTAAATTAGGGATGGAAAAATATTTAAAGAAAAACGATATCTTTATGGCTTAAATCAATTTTATGCTGATGACAACCAAACTAATATGAAAATTAATGTGGGAAAACTGGATCCTACCATGCTAGAGCCCCTGAATTAGACAGGCCGACTCATCATCTATTTTTGGAGCAAAGAGCTAACATAAGCACAATACTAACATAACGTTAACTTGCGAACTTGTTTGCTCCGATATTGCTAGATAGCTCAGCTCTGATAGTATAGGAGCCTTATACCATACGATTTTTCAGCCAATAAAAATGCACCGACAACAATGGAAAACTGTGACATCATCATTAGATTTTCATGCATAAGGATCCTATACTATGAAAGCTGACTTATCATTTTANAAATTGTTTACATGGTTGATTAACAACCTGTTTCGAATATTAGTTTTAATCAAATTAAGGCAGCTAAAGCCCCTTTCACAGTCAACAGTGTGCATTGGTATTGTTGCACAATACTCTATAACAGAAGTTATTAATGGGTACTGTTCAGACACATCATTGGTATATAAAAATAAAAGTAATTCATTAAATGACATGTTTTTACATCGTTGCATTAAGATGTGTTTAAATAATCCCCATTCACAAAGTAATTCAGTTTCTGTAAACTGAAAATCTTTTCTGGGAGATTCCGAAAACAAATTGAAAATGCAACGGATTTCCTTTACACCATAATGCTATAATTCTTCCGAACTATGGGGCATCCTGCTAGGTATAAATATATTGAACATTTCGATTTTATCCAAATCTCCCAATATATCAGTAAGCTTTTTTTTAATGGAATTTAGTAAAATCCTTTAGCAAAACTGCGAAAATGCTTTGTTGAATTTTAGCATTTTTGAGGGGTCTTTTCGCATTTTGCGAAAAAAGCTACCGTAGCGGAATCCCTGCCCCTAATGAACATAAATCATTTTTCGAAGTAATCATTTTTGGAAATAACATTTAAAAAATAAAAGTATTGTTATAACAATTTTGCTGTGTTCACAACTGTGATTTAATATTTTTGCTTGCCAAACGAACGGATGTGTATTTTAAATACAATTTTCACATTCTTCACTTTGTGCATGAAGCTGAAAGTTAAATTCTAGATCATTCATCGAATCCTTCTAACCGTAATTCATGATAGTATATTAATGTACTTTGCACTAAAAAATAATAATTGTTAAACAGCTAATGTGACATCCACATTAGATTTTCATATATAGTTAACGATTCTTTCTGTGTGTACATTAGCTTAGTAATCTATAGAATACAGTCCCTGGGCAAATTATTAGACTCACTATAATATTCTATGTAAAATATTAATTATCAGGTGATACTCTATACAGCTTCATTGTATTTATGTGACTGTTTGCACTTGTTTACGTCCGTTTATTAATTGGTTAACATTGTTATGCAATATCTTAAAAATAAATACAAATAGGAAGTATATGAAAAATATCCTTAATAAAGACCCATTACATGTATGTTTAAATATAAAAGTGTTGCCTATAAACTCGTGCAAAACATGCAATTGTAAAAACATTACAGTGCATCTAATCATTTGATCTAATTATTCTAATATACTAATATAGTGCCTGATATTAAAATATTCTATATTTATGTTTCATTTAAATTTATTCAATCGTCGAATTTATATTATAGATTGTCTAATTCAACCAATCGATACACGAACGTAAACAAGTGAAGCAAAATAAAGTGTCTGCTTAATATCTTTCGAAATTTAAAGTGATCGAAATAAAAACGGTGTAGATTAAGCGGTAAAAACTATTACAGTTTTAGAGATTTATATTATTTCATAACCGTCGTTGAACAGCCGACCCAATATTGAGTTTAAGACTACTAATGCTCAACTCCGTAGCCTTGTAATTTTAAACCCAATCCAGAAGACAAGGATACTCCTGAAACACTTATCTTGAAGAATTNAAATGTTTCAATGCAATGTGTCACACCGTAGTCTTGGCGCGGTGCATTTTGATTGAAACTTAAAATATTCGGATATTTGATCAACAAATCATGATAACGGTTCTCTGATGAGACCAAAGTTAATCCAAATGATGGTCCAGGACATGAAATGCCCTTAGAAAAAACTGTTGTCAAACTGTCAAGTAATCGACGATTTCTAACATCGACCAACAGCCCGAAACGTTCCAAAAAATCCGCATCAATAATAGGGCTTGACACATCAGCAATGATAAAATTGAAGTCGAACCTTCTACGTAAACCAAGATCTAGTTCTAAGCGCTTATTGCCGTAAGTTGAAATTTTAGAACCGTTTGCAGCATACACCCAATTTGTTTCAAATAAAGAAATAAAAGAGAGCTGACCTATCAAGCAATATTGGAGCAAAAAAGTTCGCAAGTTAACGTTATGTTAGTATTGTTGGTTAGTATGTTATGTGCTTATGTTATCTCTTCATTATTGGAGGAAAAGCTTTTGCTCCAAAAATAAATGATAAGTCTGCCTGTCTAATTCAGGGGCTCTATTCATATATAGTTAGAAACGATTCTATCTGTGTGTACATTAGCTAGATAATCTATAGAATACAGTCCCTGGCCTGATTATTAGACTCACTATAATATTCTATGTAAAATATTAATTATCAGGTGATACTATACAGCTTTAATATTTTTATGTGGCGGAAACCAGTTTGAACTTGTTTACGTTCGTGTATCAATTGGTTAATATTGTAATGCAATACCTTAAAAATAAATACAAATAGGAAGTATATGAAAAATATCCTTAATAAAAACCCATTACATGTATGTTTAAATATAAAAGTATTTCATATAAACTCGTGCAAAACATGTCATTATTAAAAAAACTACAGTGCGTCTAATCATTTGGTCTAATTACTATAATATACTAATATAATGCCTGATATAAAAATATTCTATATTTATATTTCATTTAAATTTATTCAATTGTCGAATTTATATTATAGATTGTCTAATTCAACCAATCGATACACGGACGTAAACAAGTGAAACAAAATAAAGTGTCTGCTTAATATCTTTCAAAATTTAAAGTGATCGAATTAAAAACCGTGTAGTTTAAGCGGTAAAAACTATTACAGTTTTAGAGATTTATATTATTTCATAACCGTCGTTGAACAGCCGACCCAATATTGAGTTTACGACTACTAATGTAAGCCTTGTAATTTTAAACCCAATCCAGAAGACAAGGAAACTCCTGGAACTCTTGAAGAATTTGCCTTCGTGGAGGACTTTTTGATGGAACTAACCCGCATTTACGTTACACGGATAAGAAAACCACGTAAACATCTTACGGTTAAACTACGGAAAGGAACTCTAACCCATGATCCGTCTACCACTGAGGATATTTTACGTCAGCGCTGAGGTCGGTGCGAGCCGGGTGAGGAATTCGTATCGATCAGCCGTTGCTGGGATTCGAACCAGATTTACCTCAATGGAAGGCGAACACTCTATCCCCTGAGTCATCATGGCTCATTTATATACCATTGTCAAAAATAAGTAAAATAGTTTTATTTTATTTTGCACACCGAAAAAAATAAGGCGATGGCTGGTAGCTACGAATTCCGCATCCGGCTTGCACCGACCGCAATGCTGACGTGAAATATCCACAGTGGTAGACAGATCATGGGTTAGAGTCCCCTTATCATCAGGCTAACCGTGGGAGGTTCTCGTGGCCTTCCTCTCTATGTAACGCAAATGCGGGTTAGTTCCACCAAAAAATCCTCCACGATGGCAAATTTCTCCCATTACTTGATCCAGGAGTTTCCTTGTCTTCTGGATTGGGTTCAAAATGACAAGGCTGCGGAGGTGAACATTAGTAGTCATAAAAACAAAAAATGGGTCTACACGTCTTATGATGATGAAACTTCATTTGCTGTTTTCATTTTAATTTAAATATTCTAAGAATCCTTAATTTTATTTGACCAAATTATTACTTTTCAGCTGAGAGATTGACGTCATTAGGAAAAGACTGGCACAGGGCATGCCTAAGATGTGAAAAATGTAATAAGACCTTGACCCCCGGATCACATGCAGAGGTAATTGTATGGCCATTACTTATTCAGAGCCTTACTGAAGTCTTAAATCATTCTATTGCTTTTATTTATGTAAAATATTGAGTTACGTAATAGTTAAATTGATAGTAAAATTTTCTGTTATTAGTAATGGGTAAAAAGTGTCTTATAATTGAATTTAAATTATAGAACTAATCGACGCACTTAATAATTAATCTTATATAGGTACCATGAGTAGGCGACTGCTTTTCCTTGCCTCAAAATTTTGGCGAAATCGATTGAATAGTTTCTGAGTTAGACATTTTTAAAAAAATTCATATATTTGATATTTTACTTCTTAAGATACATAAGATCAATTTCGTTCAATTTTTGTCTTTTACTATTTAAAATTATTACTAACTATTGGGCTGCGCCTCCTGCTCGCTAACTCTCGCCAACCCCCGAAAACTGCTACGCAATCTTATATGGTTTGCTTCGCAAACCAAACTCGCTTCGCTCGCTACTAACTTAGGTACATTGCAAATGCACAAATTCAAAACAATCATTCAAATCCATATAAAAACTTTTTTTTTTTTTAAAAAATTACATCTTTTTAGTAAATACTAAGTCATTAAAATAAATTTGAATTCAAATAAATGACATGTAATTCATAAAACCTATTAGAAATGTGCTATAGTATAATTCGTGATATAAATCAAAAATCGTCAAATAAATTCGTAATATATAAATTCCTGAAAAAAAAAGCGCTTTCGACAAAATACTAAAATAGAGATCGATCGACAAAGACTACTCACTTCTGCCTAGCTTAATAGTATGAGATTGCCGCAGCTGATGCTCTCTGGTTATTTCAGTTTCCGTTTTAAAAGCGCTATATGTTGAGCCACCTCACCTAGATTTGGTATGTGACATTTTTAGCAGCAATCATTGGTCGATTTTCTAACATTGCCATTCGGGGAGTTGTAATGAGGCTTTTTTTTTGTCGCCGTGTAAGAGAAATTGTAACGTAAACAAAACAAAGCAAACGTTGCCACCGGCGGAAAAGAAATACAGTCAAAATTTGGGAGCCACGTAAGAGAATGATATATATTAGATTTAAAGTAAGTTATCCATTAAATGTATAACTTACAATTCAAAATTCCTTTGTCCGTTAATTAATGAAATAATTAATAAATAATAAATTAATTAAAAAATTAATCACCTTTGCAAAAAAAACAAAATTTACTATTGTGTGCAAAAGTTTTCCGGAGATATGATGGAACACACAAAAAGTGAAATTAACGTTAAGGGACTCAAACTTTCGACCTTTCTTTGATTAAACTATCGGCACCCTATTTTTCGGAATCCTATCCCCCCACACATTTTTATAGTCAAATATCCAAATCGCACAAAAAGAAGGTACGTTTATTCGGAGAAAGTCCGTTTTTGTGTCTGATTTCGAAACGTAATTAATAGTTTGCGCTAATTAATTAGCATATCTGAGGTCTCCTCTTTGAACCATTTTGATCGGCACGTAATTCATGAAAAGCCGAGCATTAGAGCAAAAGTTACTCAATGCGATATCTATTTTATTCTATGCAATGCAGCACATCATTAAATAATTCAGCATCAAATGCATGGTTTATAGTATTTTAAAAAGTTAGATTTGCTTGTGTTTTTTTTAGCATGATGGAAAACCTTATTGCAACACACCTTGCTACGGAGCTTTATTTGGACCTGGTGGTAAGATATTATTCTAAGAATATATATATATTTTATTATTTTATAATCGTCGTGTAACAGCCGACCCAATTTCCGGGTTTACGACTACCAATGTTCAAAGCCGTAACCTTGTCATTTCAAACGCAATCCAGAAGACAAGGAAACTCTTGGATCAAATATAGAGGGAAATTTGCCTTCACGGTCGACTTTTTTATGGATCTAAGCCGCATTTGGGCTACATGGGGAAGAAAACCACGAAAACTTCCTACTGTTAGCAAAATGGCAAAGGGACTCTAAATCATGATCTTTCCACCACTAAGGATACTTTTCGTCAGCACTGTGCTCGGTGCAAGCCGAATGCGGAATTGTATCGACCAGCCATCATTGGGATTCGAACCCGGTTCACCTCATTGGAAGACGGACGCTCTATCCCCTGAGCCATCGCAACTCATCTACATATATATTATTCACAAATGATGTAGACTATCATTTGGGAGTCTAATACCAGTACAAATGATGTAGACTATCGATCAGCTTCCACGGCCCAGTACCACTCTGTCTGAGGCCCTTATATACCGTTGTTCATGGGTTAGAATAGCTGATTTACTTTAATCTTTGCTTAATCAAAAATCCCCCAAAGTTTTGATTACTTTCCCAGAATGAATATTTTTCAATTTATTATGTAATTCTGGATCAACTTATGATTATTAATTGTATCGTTTACGGCAGATTGTAAAATTACATTTTTTAATGAAAGTTTTTTTTTTAATTAAAATGAAAAGAAAACAAATTTGTTTATGTTAGTACTAAACTTGTTAAAAAGAAATGAAGCATGTAAAACGCATCGCTTTTGAAACACGCGGGGGAATTTTTTTGGAGACGAAGTTTATAACGTAAAAGCTGAGTCCTTTGTCCGAAAGGGGTCCACATTTCGATTGACGATAAAATAAATATTGGAAAGACATATAGTCTTTGGCTATAATTGAAAAAAAAATCAGTTTGTTACGATCACGAAAATCTTGTCGTCTGGTCCGGTGTTTGAGATGTGAGAACTCAAGCTAGTCTGAAAGAGGCTAAAATTTCAATTGTAATATTGATTCTTACAGAAATGAAGGCGAATTCATAAAAACGTAATAATTAGAGCCCGGATTTTGATGACCTAAAAAATCTCAACTAATGCCCTTAAAAAGTGCAAAAAATGCCCTTAAAAAGGGCAAAAAATGCCCTTAAAAATGCAAAAATTGCGCAAAAAATGCCTTAAATAAAGTAAAAATATTGAATTAAAAAAATGTTTTGCTCTTTAAAATTATTATGAGTCATTTAAAAGATATAAAGCAATGCAATACTTGTTCTACGCTCATTAAAGTTTGAAAAATATGTTTTATATCCTAAAATAACAAAAAAAAGGAAAATATATTGACACCAAAATATTTTTATTTTGTATAGAAACTTTAATGGATATAACAACTTCCATCTCATAATATTACTAAATATCAGAATTACATTGGATTATTAAATGTTTTTTGATAATTTGAAATGTAAACGAGCGTCTCTTGTCTGAAAGTAAATTTTCATTCCTGCAAAAGCTTCTTTCAACGTCTACTGATGTTATAGGTGCGTACTTGAAAAAGACGGTCTTACTTACTGACAATTCTTCTTCAATTTGAAAAGATGTTGCTTCACCTGTTAATATCCTATAGATTTTCTTTATTGTTTGGAAGCCAGTGTAATAATGAAAATTGATAAAAAATAATAAAAATTGTAAAAAATTAACAGAAAACTTTAAAAACTGCATTAAAATGCAAAATACGCCCCAAAATTTCAAGAAAAATGCCCTATAAATCTAAAAAAATGCTCTAAAAGACAAAAAATGTCCAAAAATGCAAAAAAATGCAAATGTTATCAAAATCCGGGCCTTAGTAATAACAAATAATTTTTTTTTAACCTTTCTGTACAAGATAAAATAATTTGCCAAAAGAACAGGCAAGTGCTTCAATGACTTTTCCCGTGAATTAGAACATACATGCTAGTACGAAAGTGTTCGAAGTTTTGATTGACTATAAATACTTTTTGGTGATAAAAAAAAAACAATTATTTCTACTAGCTACGCTTGCAGCGATTTAAAGCTTGCATTATCGCTTGCTCAGGTGTTTCAGTACAGACGAAAGAGATCTAGCTAACACCTCTAGCGTACAAGTGCGTCTTAGCTCAGAACCTTTCGGATAGAAAACAGTATTATTAATTCGTGAAAGCACTTCAATTTAGACATAGACGTGAAGGGGAAGGAAATTTTTTCCTGATCCCTGTAAACTTTGTACTTCTCAGCTACCGACCACAAGACTTTCGACCCCACATAATTTACTAGCATGTATATCGCGCGAACTCGGTGAATTTCACTCGCTTTTAGGATCGAACCCCAGCCCCTCGCAAATGAAGTCCGATGCTCTAACCGCGACCCTTATTTTTGCATTTTTGTGTCAAGTAATTTAAATATTAAGTACAGTCCCTGGCCAAATTATTAGACGCACTTTAAGATCCTGTGCAAAATCTTAATTATCAGGTAATGTTCTACAACTTTATTGTTTTGACGCGGCTGAAACCGGTTTACAATTGTTTATATTCGTGTATCAATGTATTTGTTCAATGTAATTGTTCTAATTATTATAATAGATTAATATAATACCTGATACAATAAATATTCTATACTTATATAGTATATCTTCTATTGTATATAATCGTCAAATTTATATTATATATCGTCTCATTTCACCAATGGATACACGAGCGTAAACAAGTACAAACAGGTTTCAATCTCGTGAAAACAAGTATCACGTGATAATTAAGATTTTACATAGAACCTTAGAGTCCGTCTAATAATTTGGCCAGGAACTGTATACGTTAAAATCAATATCTCTCTCTTACAACGATGATTTTAAAAGATAAAGTAAAAATTGTAAATGGAAAATAATTAATGACGTAAACCAACTGCAAAAAGAGCCGATTACTTTAACGAACTATCAAAAACAGTTGTCAACTAATTACACATAAAATAAAAGCACGCTATCTAACTTAAAATATTGCAAGCGCTACTCACTTTTATCTTAATCTCAGATTCTTCTTGATAAAGTAGACATTCTTAACTAAAAGAGTAAAGTAATTATTTAAAAAAACAACAACAAAAACGATACATTTATTTTTCAGGGAATATCGACAAAGTTGCCACTCTCTCAAAAGTAAAACTTTATAAGTATATTACAATTAATGAATTAAAAATGCAACAGATACCTTAAAATGTTAATAGGAAATTCAACTTTTACAATTTAGATGATGAAACTTATGAAACATTCCATCTTTTTTGATTAAATTATCTTAAATACATGAAACTTTTTAATAACTTACCTCTTTAAGATACACTCGGCATTAAAATTTGTAATCCATAACTTGACTGAGAAGAAAATTAACATTCATAATGAAAATAAATATTTCTATGAAATCAAATAGAAATATTCTTTGCTCAGGGTTGATTACCATCTTCAAATCTCAATTAAAAATCGTTGTTGTTGTTGTTGTTGTAGTTCATTTATGTCGTACTAGAGCCGCACAACGGGCTATTGGCGACAGTCAGGGAAGCATCCCTGAGGATGATCCGAAGACATGGTATCACAATTTTGATCCTCTGCAGAGGGGATGGCACTCCAATTCGGTAGTCCGACGACCTACACACGAAATTCAGCACTTAACGGTAGAACAGTTTAACGAGGACCCATACCGCACACCCTCGGTCCCTACGCAGACTGATCCAAGTGGTCACCCACCCGCACACTGACCGTAGTCAGTGATGGTTGACTTCGGTGATCTGCTGGGAACCGTGTCTTAACGATCAGTCCACTGCGGGACCTTCAAAAATCGTAGGTGTTAAATACGACAATACCTCTAACAACGAAGATACCCAAAGTATAATTCGCATAGCTAGCTGAATTCTCTTTTTGCAATATTAGTGTTCTTGGACCGGAAATAATATGTATAAAACTTTTTATCTATTTCAATTTAAAGAGCTATAAATTATTACAAATATTTGTCAGTTTAGGTCAGAAAATTTGTCAAGATTCGACAAAAACATCGCCAAATGCGAGATAACAAACGCAGCTGAAAGAATCAACCTTAAGAAACTTAAAAACTTATTGCCGATGAAAGAAAATCTTCGATTTCAAATAGTATTTGTTTTTACCTTTAATAAAATATTTCTTTCAATTCCGTACTTTTGCAACTACATTAAAACTTATGAATTTAAAATTTAAAAAATTATCCTTTATCAATTGATACAACGCAAAAGACAACAAATTGAACTTAATAAGATATTATTTTTAAATTAAAAAGCATAAGTAAAAATTCATATGTTCGTTTCACCTTATGTTTATTTCATCTTTATTGTTTTCATTCGACTTGTGTTTATTTCATCTTATCACTAAAAGACAGTTAAGGGAATTGAATAAATCACATACTTTCTTAAGGGAAATCATCCCACAAAAATTATTTTAACTTCTTTCGGGAATTGATCAAGTACCTCTGATCAAATATCCGTTTTCAGAATTCCAATACGACATTGGCGGGGCTGCAAATAAATATTTCAAGCAATGATGAATAATTACAATATGAGGAGAGTAAAGAAAAAATCGATTCAGCCGTGAAAAATAATTCATAATTTGCTTTTCATATTCTAGTTTTCTGAATCAATTTCACAAAATTTCCTATTAGGGATTAAAGAACTTCATAACTTATTTATTGTTATTATTTTTTTTCACTAACCGTTTTCTTTCACTTTAATTTACTACTCTCAATTTAATCACAACGCAAGGTTTTTCTAATCACTCTCAGAAATGTAAATATAAAAATGCATTCAAAAATTTTTTTTGCAATCAGAAAAATGTATGAAATGCACACAAAGTGTTTTAAATTGAATTGATGTAATACAATTTATAGCTTATAGTATTTCATAAACCAACCAGCTTGGTACAGTCGATCTAAATTAGGGTTCACGATTATCAATGTTCAACTCCGTGTGTGATTTTAAACCCAGCATCGAACACAACGGAATTCCTGGATCAAGCATTAGGACACACTAACTTTCGTAGAAGGCTTACTGATAGAACTAACCAGCATTTGCGTTGCATGGAGAGGAAAACAAAAAAAACCTCCCCTCGACGGCGCAGAGTCCTTCAGTGGACTAATCATTTAAGACATCAGGGGTCTGTTTAGAAGAAATTTGGGTCCGTTAACGGACCCTTCACAAAATATCTTTTCATGAAAACGGACCCTTCACAAAATATTTTAACTTAAAAACGGACCCTTCACAAAATAATTTATGTTATAATCGGACCCTTCACAAATTTGTTTATCTTCATTATTGTTTTGTTAATCGAATAAACCTTGAAGTGTCTCCCGTCTCCATAGAAACGCTTTCAAAATAGAGTGATAATTGTTTGTATTCAGTTTGGGACGAATTGCAATTCCTAAANATTTAAAAATTCCTTGAAAAAGTTTTTTTTGCAATAACAGACCCTATTTGCACCAATTCTCAAAAGCGGACCCTCGTTGAAAGAATGTGACTTAACGTTTATTTTATATTCACAAATTACGAGTAATTTTTTCACAATTTTACAAAAAACGGACCTTTCACAAAATGTCTGAACAGACCCCTGGACATGGTTCCCAGCAGATCACCGAAGTCAAGTATCACTGGCTGCGGTCAGTGTGCGGGTAGGTGACCACTTGGATTAGTCCGTGTAGGGACCGAGAGGGTACGGTATGGGTCCTCGCTAAACTGTTCCACCGTAAAGTGCTCGACTTCGCGTGCAGGTCTTCGGGCCACCGAAGCGGGGGTGCCACCCCCCGTTTCGAATCAAAATTGTGATGGTATGTCTTCGGATCATCCTGAGGGATGTTTCCCAGACCGTCGCCAATAGCCCATTAAGCAGCTCTAGTGTGACGTAAATGAACTACAACAACAACATCGACGGAACAGAAATTCTAACCCGTGATCCGTCTGAAACTCAGGCTATATATTATCAGCACAGAAGTTGGTGCGAGCCTTGAGTAGTATTCGTACCAATCAGTCTTCACGGGGATTCGAACCTGGGCTATCTCATTGGGAGGCAAGCGCTCTATTTCTTGAGCCACAGCTACACAATTTGAGCTATATTTTTAAAAACAATACATCTTTTTTTTTTACCTTTCTATACTGATTACTCAAATTTATTTTTAGTTTAATTTTGTAATAAGTTTAATACATTAATTTAAATTTTGCAATAAGTATAAAACAATATGTTATTGTCAATAGAAAACATACTATTTTCAGTAAAAATAGTTGGATGATTTTATATAGCTTGTATTGACACAAACTATTAGAATTTAGTCATGCGAAGAATTAAGGCAGAATTTAGTCACGCGATTCGGCTACGAACTTGTTAAACTTGAAATTATGTTATCCATTGAAAATAATTTTTAGATAAAGCTTATTTACTTGATAAACTAATGTCTTGGAGTAAAACTTAAATAACAGTTGTAACACTTCATTCATGCTACATTTGAAATAATAATTGATGAATTTAAATTTTAGAAATTTAGAGAAATAAGGGAATATGATAGATATGTGCACATGATAGATATGTGGTCAACAATAGGTGCATTCTTTTCAAGTTCAGGGCAGGAATTTTAAAAATAGTAATATTTTTCTATATTGGTAAGAAGATAGCTTACCCGGTGGTCGCAAGTCCCAAATCTGAACAAAAATAATTAAATTAAATTAAATTCTTACTTTAAAATGAAAAGATACTATTTTTATATTATCATCAGCAAGTTAAAAATTTCTTTATTGAGTTTTGTATAGGCATCTTCTTTTTTTCCTTTTGGTCAAAGCTGTTGTTGTTGTTGTAGTTCATTTATGTCGCACTAGAGCTGCTTAATGGGCTATTGGCGACGGTCTGGGAAACATCCCTGAGGATGATCCGAAGACATACCATCACAATTTTGATCCTCTGCAGAGAGGATGGCTCCCCTGCTTTGGTAGCACTTTACGGTCGAACAGTTTAACGAGGACCAATACCGCACACTCTCGGTCCCTACGCAGACTGATCCAAGTGATCACCCACCAGCACACTGACCGCAGCCAGTGATGCTTCACTTCAGTGATCTGGTGGGAACCGTGTCTTAACGATCAGTCCACTACGGGACTTTGGTCAAAGCATGATTGTATAAAACTCAAATTAAACTTTAAGAAAACATGAAGTTTTATAATAACTTTATTATTTAATATTTGTGTTGTTGTTGTTTCCAATATCACTTGCCAATATCAGCAAGCCTGCTTGGTGAAACCAGGCTAATTTTAGACAGAGGATGCGCTTCTTGTTTTTCAGTGGCGCCATCTATGACTAAGAATACAATTTCAGTCATACACAGACGTCACAGCCCAGTTATGCTGCTGACCCATTCATAAATACATTTATTAATTTACAGATCGTAATTTTGACTTGAACCAGAGAGCAATCAATCTCCAATTCAGTACCTCCAGAGGTATTGATTTGTTATGGAAACTTGGAGGGCTAAGTGACCTGACAGATTTCACGTTCACCAGTCACCATTTACTACAAGGAGAGACTTCAGCAGACGCGGATCGAACTCACGACCTCTGGAAAATGAGCCCACCCCTCTAATATTTAATTTTATAATCATCGGTGAACAGCCGACCCAAATTTTGTATTTAAGTTTGCTAATATTCAACTCCGTAACCTTGTAATTTTGAACCTAATCCAGAAGACAAGGGCACCAGTATTGGGAGAAATTTATCTTCGTGGATGACTTTTTGATTGAAATAACTCGTATTTGCGTTACAAGGAGAGGACCTTCCACTGTTAGTCTGAAGGTAATTAGACTCTAACCCTTGATTCGTGTACCACTGAGGATATTTTACGTCAGCATTATGGCCGGGTGCTAATTCGTATCAACCAGCTATCTCTAGGTTTTGAACCCGGTTCACCTTATTGGTAGGCGGGTGCTCTATCCCCTTTAAATTATGCTAAATATATGTCAGATTAAGCTTATTTTTTACTTTCCTCTATGAAGGTAAAATTTCTTCTAATGATCCAGGAGCTTCCTTGTCTTCTGGATTGGGTTCAAAATTACAAGGCTATGAAGTTGAACATCAGTAGACGTAAATCCAAAATTGGATCTGCTGTTAAACGACGGTTGTAAAATTATATTATAATCTCTTGAGCCGTGCAGACTCATGGGATAGAGCGCTCGCCTCCTGCTGAGGTGACTTGGGTTCGAATCCCAGTGTGGTTGAATGATACGAACTCCGCACCCGGCTTACTCCGACTACAGTGCTGACTGTAATATCCACATTGGTAAACAGATCATGGGTTAGAGCCCCCCTCAACATCGGGCTAACCGTGGGAGGTTTTCGTGGTTTTCTTCTCATATTAAACGCAAATGCGGGTTAGTTCCCTCAAAAACTCCTCCGCAAGGGCAAATTTCTCCCAATACTTGATCCAGGAGTTTTCTCGTCTTCTGGATTGGGTTCAAAATTTTACGGCGAAATTGTTAATACGTAAACACGGAATATGTAGGAATATGTAGTCGTAAACACGGAATCGGGTAGCGGGTAAATTTGAATCTATAATAGTGCTGCAGATTGACTCAGTAAACTCTGCTATCGGAATTGCTCTTCAGGTATATTTTTACAGCATTAACAAACACATTAAATTTTTCAAATCAACAAAAACTCTCTTAAAATCAGTCGAGTTACTGGAAGAAGGCGGTATGTAAAACTTCATTATCAGTGTACTTGGGGCCGGGATAGCCTGGTTGTCAGGACGCTGGACTCATGTTCGGGAGAACGGGAGTTTTAGATTTTAATTACCACTCTAATAAAGTATTTTGCAAAAACCGTAGTAGTTGGCATGCTTATATTTAATATGTGAATAATGATTCAATAAAATTTATATAACCGGTTTTCCTTTAAATAATGACACAAAAACGTGGCTGGGTTAGCCTGGTTGGTAGGGCACTGGACTTTCGTTCGTGGGAACGGGAGTTCGAATCCCGCCAGCCGATGACTCCTTGTGTAATAAATGGTGATTGATGCGCGTTATATCTGTTGGGTCGCAAAGTCCTCCATGTTCCCATAGCAAATCAATGCCTCTAGAGGTAGTGAATTGAAGATCGATCGTTCCCTGGTTCAGGTCAAAATTACGATCTATGGATGAATGAATGGACGTATGATTGATTCCATCCTATACATGGATGTGACGTATTAGTGAGGCCGAGGTTGAATTTTTAACCATAGAAGGCGCCACTGGAATACAAGAACAACCGTACCCCTTGCCTTAATGGCCTGACAACAACTACCAGTTTGCTTCCTTGTTGAAACTTTGAAGAATTTTCAATAAAAATATTAAACGAAAAAGAATGATGTGTTTAGTTCCTCTCTAAACTGGTTTTGATGATTTCACTCCAGCTTTCTATTGAGACCCATTAATAGTTTTTTTTCTCTCATAAATCTCTCTAATCTGCATAAATTTTGCAACTTATATTTCATAATGTTTCGGAATATATTTACTAACGATAATTATTAGGAAATACCAAGTACAGATAAAAATTTCCTCAAACTTTATAATTATTGTCATAATTAGTATTCTAATTAATATTTTTTATTCTCTGTTGTTAAGTTCTTTTTTCATGCTTAACTATTTTATTTTATTTTTTTATAGGTTTTGGACGGGGTGGAACAGAAAGTTACAACTACAAAAAATAAAATACTATTTCCTTGTAATGTGAAACGAATGAATTCAATAGATTAAATTTTATACTTTTCTTCGATGTGCGTTTTTTTCTTCTTTTTATTCATCATTAAAGAATTAAATGCTTATTGTTAAAAATTAATGTATAATGTTTCAACTTCGTTCAGTAAGAGAAAATATTTCAATTTGGATAATAATTTTTAATAAACTGATTGAATATTATTATGTAAATGAATTTAAACATTTTATTTAAAGTATAACTTGAATGTTATTTAAAAATTAATCTAATAAAAATCCGGCAGTTAAGAAAGACACTAAAAATAAAAAACACACATGAGTTTAGATAGTTATGCTTCATGGAAATTGCAATAAACTCATATGGTTTTATGATTTTTCGTGATGAGAGGGGCGTGGCGCAAAGAGTTGGAGCATTCAGTTAAAAATCCAAACGTCTCGGATTCGATCCTCGAAGTGGTTCGTATTTATATTTATTGCCGTCTTTAAATACCAGACCCATACCTGCCAACTCTTCCGGATTTTCCGGAAGATTTTATTTTTATATTTAAAGTGGTAGTAATTATATACTATTTTTTCTTTTATAAACTTAATTTTTAAATGATTTTGATCACCACTATTCTTACAAAAATTAAGCACATATATTAATATGCGTTACTCTCATGGTTGTCAACTTAAGTTTTTTCAAATGCAACGTATTAGTTTGCTTAAAATTGAAGTTTTAATTCCATTTTAATACCACTGGGAAAAATGATAATGGAAGGGATTAAAAGTTGGCAGGTATGCAGACCCAATTTTTAGGTTTACGACTACTAATGTTCAACTGCATAGCGTTGTAGTTTTGAACCCAATCCAGAAGACAAGGGAGCACCTGGACCAAGCATTCAGAGAAATTTTTGGTGTAACCAACCCACATTTGCGTTACATGGGGAGGAAAACCTCCCATGGTTAGTCTGACGGCAAGGGGACTCTAACCTATGGTCCATCTACCAATGAGGATAGCTTACGACAGCACTGTGGACGACAGTTTGCGGAATTCGTATAGATCAGCCATTGCTGGGATTTGAACCCGGTTCACTTCAATGAAAGGTGAACGCTCTATCTTCTGAGCCTCACGGCTCTTCCCGGAGTGTTTTTTTTTAATTAATATATTATTTTACAACCGTCGTTGAACAGCCAACTCAATTTTGGGTTTACGGCTACTAATGTTCAACTCCGTAGCCTGTAATTTTGAACCCAATCCAGCAAACAAGGAAACTCCTGGATCAGTACCCCTAGAGCAGTGTTTCTTAACCTTTTTGATATAATGGACCCCTTTTAAAAAATTTTAAGAAGTCACGGACCACCCCTCTGAGAAAAAAAATAATTGCAAAAAACATCAATTATTAGAAAACATTTAATTTTATTATTTTAATAGTATACAAAATTTTTAAAATTAAAATTCTTAATGTGAAGGTTGCTACTGCTTTTCCTTAATTAATAAATTGAATTGGGGGATGGTTTTCGACAAAGCAACGTGCATATCATGTTCATAATTCAATCGATTTGGATGTTATGTTTTTATTGTCACAAGTGTGGAAAATCCCGCTTCTACACTGTAGCAAACGAAATTAAAGCTTCCATAGCTCGCTTTACAAACAATGGGTAGGCTTCCAAACGTTTTAAAAATTAGGAGTAGTCAGTGGACCCCCAAAATGTAACTCATGGACCCCTTAGGGGTTCATGAACCACAGGTTAAGAAACCCTGCCCTAGAGGTATGATTTGTTATGAGAACATGGAGGATTTTGAGACTCGACAGACTTAACGTGCATCAGTCACCATTTACTAAGAGATCACCATTTACTCACAACATAAGTCACCTCCAATGTGATAACCATATATATATGCTCTTAACGTGACATAGTTCAGATGGTCGCATGATCTAAGAAAGCGTCTAATATTTAAAAAAAATAGCCATAAATGTGAATAAATAAATACCTAAAATATTTAAGAAGTATTTGCTAAGTCCAAACCATGCTAGGTAAAGTGCATGCATTTCGCTTTAAAAAAATGGTGACAATTTAAGTATTTTTTTTTTAAATTTTTGCAATGAGAAAATCATTTGAAAGCTTTTTTCAGAATGAAAAAAGAGGCGTCAAATTTTTAAAAAATACACCTAGATGTGGAAAAATAAATACCCAAAATTTGTAAGAAGCATTTGTTGATTATAAACCATGCAACGTTAAGAACGAATAAACTTAATGGAGAACACTTTGCAAATTTTTTATAATTATTTGTAATATGGGATTAATTTGAAACTTGCTTCAGATTAAAAAATAAGGGTCAAATTTTTCAAAAATACCCATAGGTAGGAAAATATAAAATCCCAAAACTTTTATGAAGCATCTGTTTACTCTAAAAAATGCGATCATATGAACTTAATGGAGGACACTTTACGAATTTTTTTGATTATTTGTAATAAGGGATTCATTTGATTGAGGGATTACAAAGTAAGGGCCAAATTTTTCAAAAATACCCATAGATAGGAAAAAATGAGTACCCAAAAATTTTATGAAGCATTTTTTTATTCTACACCATGCGATCATATGAACTTAATGGAGGACACTTCACGAATTTTTTATAATTATTTGTAATAAGGCATTCATTTGAAACTTTTTTCAGATGAGGAAGTAAAGGTCAAAGTTTTCAAAAATATCCACATACATGAAAAAATAAATACCCGAAATTTCTAAGAAAAAGTTTTTTATTCTAAACCATGCAACGTTAAGATCGAATCAACTTAATGGAGGACACTTTACAAATTTTTTATAATTATTTGTAACATAGGATTCATTTGAAACTTGCTTCAGATTAAAAAATAAGGGTCAAATTTTTCAAAAATACCCATAGGTAGGAAAAAATAAATTTCCAAAACTTTTATGAAGCATTTGTTTACACTAAAAAATGCGATCATATAAACTTAATGGAGGACACTTTACGAAATTTTTAAAATTATTTGTAATAAGGAATTCATTTGAAACTTTTTTCAGATTGTAAAGTAAGGGCCAAAGTTTTCAAAAATTTCCACATACATGAAAAAATAAATACCCGAAATTTCTAAGAAAAAGTTTTTTATTCTAAACCATGTAACGTTAAGATCGAATCAACTTAATGGAGGACACTTTACACATTTTTTATAATTATTTGTAATATGGGATTCATTTGAAACTTGTTTCAGATTAAAAAATAAGGGTCAAATTTTTCAAAAATACCCATAGGTAGGAAAATATAAAATCCCAAAACTTTTATGAAGCATCTGTTTACTCTAAAAAATGCGATCATATGAACTTAATGGAGGACACTTTACGAATTTTTTTGATTATTTGTAATAAGGGATTCATTTGATTGAGGGATTACAAAGTAAGGGCCAAATTTTTCAAAAATACCCATAGATAGGAAAAAATGAGTACCCAAAAATTTTATGAAGCATTTTTTTATTCTACACCATGCGATCATATGAACTTAATGGAGGACACTTCACGAATTTTTTATAATTATTTGTAATAAGGCATTCATTTGAAACTTTTTTCAGATGAGGAAGTAAAGGTCAAAGTTTTCAAAAATATCCACATACATGAAAAAATAAATACCCGAAATTTCTAAGAAAAAGTTTTTTATTCTAAACCATGCAANTATAGAGGAGATTTTTTATATACTTATATACTTCTTATTTGTATTTATTTTTAGCATATTGCATTACAATGTTAACCCATTGATACAGGAGCGTAAAGAAATGCAAACCGGTTTCATCCGAGATAATTATAATTTTACTGATAATTATAATTTTCCTGATAATTATAATTTTACATAGAATCTTATAGTGCGTCTAATAGCATGGCCAGGGACTGTAAATACAATTAGGAAAAAAATTACAATTTTTAATAGCAGTGATATAATTGTTTCTTTAAAATTACATCGTCAATAACTAACTGACATTTGTAGAATTAATGTCTATATTCTTAAGCAGAAATTAAAAGTGAAGGGGAATGAATAGGCTATATCTTTTGCTTTTCATGTATTCCACTGTTAAAATAACTTTTATACCATAACTATCTTTTTTAATTAGTAAATCAATTTATTAAATTTTTAGACCTAAAATTCAAAATATTGAATTTTTATAATCTGGGAGCTAAGCAACAATTTTACGAGAGATCAGCCTGGAATTCGCCTAAAAATATTCTGTTTCTACTATTTAAGGTTATTTTTATTTAATCAATTAAAATTTTATAAAAAGCATTGCCTAAAAATATATATTTGAAAAAATACTTTGCCGAATATTTGGCTGAACATTCGACCGAGTATATGGTAAAATATTCGACAAATAGGCCGAATATTCTTTACATCCTTAAAATCCTAGTAATCCCTAATACTAGTAAGTAAATCCCAAAAATCCAACAATTTAAGCCCGGGGCAAAAATTTCTTTGGGGTCCCGTCTGCTTCTTTGCTTCAGTAATAAAGAACTGAACTTTTGAGGTTTTTAAATTTTTCCCCTCATAATATATAACAAGAAAATTGACTGAAATCTAAAATAGCTATACAGTACCCCCCCCCCCTTCTATGGTCACACGAAGATTTTCTGACAATTCTATGTTCATCATGTCGAATGCAATTTTCTGATTGTTAATTTTATCATCTAGCTGCGAAAAATCCATATCCCTGCTGACATTAGGGCGAAATTCAGCTAAATTTTCACAATCACAATGGTTTAATTAAACCAATCAGAAGCCTGCATTTTTGAAACATATCGCATTTTGCGATATGCAAAAATGCAGGATTTTGATTAGCCAAATTTATCCATCTTAATTGCGAAAATTTAGCAGATTTTCGCCCTCTAGAAAGCCATGGATTTACGAAATATAGATTGTGTTTTTACGATAGATTCATGAAGCAGCAAACATACAACTGACGGATTTTACACTGTACTGATATTTCGTTTTAAAAAAGTTCATTAAAGAAGGAAACGTAAAATAAACTTTCGATTCAATTTGAGGTCCACCTCTCATGTGGGGGCCTGGGGCAACTGCCCCGTATGCCCCTGCCTTAGCCAGGCTCTGATGGCTTGTCAATATGAATTCCGCATCAGGCTTGCACCCACCACAGTGCTGACGTAAAATATCCTCTGTGGTAGACCCCTAGCCGTCAGGCTAATCGTGAGGGTGTTTCGTGGTTTTCCTCTCAATGTAACACAAATGCGGGTAAGTTCCATCAAAAAGTCTTCCACGCAAATTTCTCCCGATACTTGTTCCAGGAGTTCCCTTTTCTTCTGGATTGGGTTCAAAATTACAGGAAAAAAAAGATTTTTAACACTTAAGGTTCCCCAGAAACGGTCTTATCTCTTATGCTTAAAGCACTTATTAATATATCCGAAGTATTTTAGTGAAATAGAGTATTTTAGTGATTGAATTCTTTCTGCATGCCATTATTTTTTTTACTTTATTGCACATGCCATTATTTTTTTTAAACTTTATTGTGCATGCCATTATTTATTTTACTTTGGCACAATGTCTTGAAACACGTGTATAAAAAAGAATAAGTAATCCAAAAATTGGTGGTTGGCGACGAATTTGGCGAAAATAAAAAGAGCGATATTCGGCAGGAGTGAAAAAAAAGAGGAAAAAAAAAATCTCTGGTCTTCAATTTACGCCGTGATAACGGTCATTTATTTTTACTCGGTTCTTCGTTGTCATGACTTAAAGTGTTCTCTTTTTAGAACTTAAGTGATCATTTACAACGAAGTGAGAAAACATACAAAATAAATAAATAAAGTCAATATCTATTAGATATTAAAGAAAAGAATATTTGAAATTGTTTGACTTTTCCTGTTTGGTAAGTATCGAATTTATAAACCTTCACTTTTAATTAAACCGAAAAATTTATTTATCCTTAATGAGAAAGGAAAATCTTTTCGGGTGACCCTTAACATTTAGGGGCGATGCGTACTAGGATGAGTCCGAGATCCCTAATAATGGGCTCTTTATTTGAAAAGGGGCAGTGGGCCTACTTTCCCCCTTATTTATTTATTTTTTCCCAAGATAACAGCATGCGGATAACGCACAATTATGCATAGAACTTATTTGAACAAAAATAAGTGAGCCATATTTTTATTAAATATTCTACATAATAAAACATTATTTTAAAATAATGGCGAGAACTTATCTTTGAAATAAAAGTAAATGCATAACTTAAATTAATGTTAAAAATATATAGAATTTCTTATTTTTTGCCTCTTTTTCCTTCAATGATATAAATTTTCTTATTCATAATGATCTTTAGAATATACAGTCCATGGCTAAATTATTAGACGCAGTATAAGATTCTATGTAAAATCTTAATTATCAGATGATACTTTACAGCTTTATTATTTTTCTGTGACTGAAACCGGTTTGCACTTGGTTACGTTACAGTAACAATTGGTTAAATTAGACGATATATAATATAAATTTGACGTAAAAGAATTGACGTCATTTGACGTGTTTTGTCAAGCATTATATTAGTATATTATAATAATTATATTAAATTATTAGACGCATTGTAGTGTTTTAATAATGACATGTTTTGCACGAGTTTATAGGCAATACTTTTTTATTTAAACATACATGTAATGGGTTTTTATAGAGGAGATTTTTTATATACTTATATACTTCTTATTTGTATTTATTTTTAACATATTGCATTACAATGTTAACCCATTGATACAGGAGCGTAAAGAAATGCAAACCGGTTTCATCCGAGATAATTATAATTTTACTGATAATTATAATTTTCCTGATAATTATAATTTTACATAGAATCTTATAGTGCGTCTAATAGCATGGCCAGGGACTGTAAATACAATTAGGAAAAAAATTACAATTTTTAATAGCAGTGATATAATTGTTTCTTTAAAATTACATCGTCAATAACTAACTGACATTTGGAGAATTAATGTCTATATTTTTTAAGCAGAAATTAAAAGTGAAGGGGAAGGAATAGCCTATATCTTTTGCTTTTCATGTATTCCACTGTTAAAATAACTTTTATTCCATGACTATCTTTTTTAATTAGTAAATCAATTTATTAAATTTTGGGCCTAAAATTCAAAATATTGAATTTTTATAATCTGGGAGCTAAGCAACAATTTCACGAGAGATCAGCCTGGAATTCGTCTAAAAATATTCTATTTCTAATAAAATATTATGTATGCATTATTAAAACATATATTAAATAACATACAAATATTAGCTTATTTATAAGCAAATAATTCGAAAAAGCAAAATGATTTGCCTTTTTAATTTTCTTTTAATTTTTAAATAACGTTGCATTTAAGATTATTTACATTAAAAAAAAATTTGAATTTAGAGTTTGAAAGTTAGTGTGGAAGTATTAAAATGTTTTAAAAAATTATGAAATGCAAAAAGTATTGTATCCTGTTTCGTAACTAAATATAATTAAACGTTTTGAAGCATTCAATTATTCATTAAATTTTATTGTTCGAAATATTCCAACACATTATAATTAGCATTATTTATAAAAGCTTTTATTTTGCATTTTATTATTTTACTTTTTATAAGATGAATTATTACTTTCATTTAAATATAATAGAATGTCTATGGGATACCTGCAAGTGACGTAGAGTCGATATATCGATCCTGATTAGTTGTTGAAACGTGGCATTTGTTTACGTTAGCAACTGTTCTTTCCATTCTATTTAGAGTAAGCCAAGTCCATCAAGCACCAATTCTTTTAAGTGACACATTCTATATCCCTACACAAAGATTTTTTCATAAATATTTCAATTTTTCCATTATATATTTCTTACTTGACAAAAAGGCAAGCACCAACTCATGTAGAACATAAACAAACTAGCTATGCATCGAAGTTGCCAGGTACACAAAACAAATATATATCACGGTAACAGTAAAATATATAAACACGTGTGCTAATCGAAGTTAAGTAAAAGACGTAGACGGAAAAGAATTATATTTCAACAAATTCGATGTTCGATACGGCACTGTTTGGAATCAACTTCACGTTAATTGACATTCTGACTTATGTGGAGAAACTTAGCTCAACTTTAACACGCCATTTTGCTTATAAACGATCAGCTGGAGCTTTTGTTATATGTCACATGTGTAGGTAATGTGATCTTCTTGAAGTGCAAGTACCCAATCAAAAAATTAATTCATAAAGTAATTTCTTTGTATTTAATATTTGAAAAGAATAAATTTAATAAAACAATTTATCGTCTGCGAGATTTGAAAGCCAAACGTTATTTACATGAGGAACAATGAAGAGCTATCTGAATGAAAATATACATTTTTTCTGCAGACGGTTTTTTCAGAAATTGCCCTATTATTGAAAAGTGTAAATTTTAATGATGTGCATAAAAATAAACCACTCTTTTTTTTGTAGATATTTTACCCAAAAATTTTGAGTCCCTTAAACGGAAATGATAGTTATTAATGATGTCAATAGAAAATATCCCATTTTTTACAGGTATTTTTGTCAGAAATATCAGTTGTCGGAAACTGTGTTGATTAATGACATTTTATAAATATATCCTCGTTCTTTATCTCTTTTCCCCCAGATATTTTATAACTAGAAGAAATATTGGGCCCCATCGTCGAAAAGTGTGTTTTTGTAGTAGCAGCATTCTGGAGCGAGCATTCAGAAGATTGTTCCACAGAGAAGGATCGCGGACGGTGAGTAAAAGAATATGATCCTAAAAAATATTCTTGTTATAGTGATTTTGCTTGACCTTCGGAGATAGGACTTTCAAATTCCTGTGTCCTTTACTAAAAGCACGTTCCTAATTTTAAAAAATACAAATTTCTACTTTAAAGATAAACATAAAAAAATTAATATTTCATAAAGGGATACCTGTAAGTGACGCAGTGTGTGTATCTCGATCCTGATTGGCTGTTGAAGCGTGGCAATTGTTTATCTTAACAACTGTATTTTCGTTTCTATTCTGAGTAAACCAAGCCTGTCAAGTATCAATTCTCTTAATTAAGACATTCTATATTTTTTTCACAAATATTTCAATTCTTCCACTGCATATTTTTTACTTAACAATCGATTCAATGCAAAATTCTTTTCTTTTTCTTTTTTTAACACAGAAAAAAAAAGTTTTATTAAATTTTGACTAAATAAATTTGCGTGCGCTATTATTTCATTTCACGGAATGGAGAATTACGCTTCTTAGGGACGCGTCGTAATTCATTTCGCATCCCTTTAACGATTTTCGGCGTATTTGACGCGTTATAGCTCCTTAGGGGAATCACTGAAATTAAAAAAAAAAGCAGTTTTATAATTTAGGTGCAACCAAAATTCTTCAAAAAGAATTTTCTTTTCCTGGTTTAGGCTTCACTGGGTTATTTTAACTAAAGTCCCGAATACGTTGCTTAAGTACCGACACGCCTGGTAGCTGCAACTCTCTTGTGACCGCAACTCTCAATGTGGAAGTTCGGAGTTAATGTAGTAACTCAATCGCCATTTATTAATGATTATTATTTTCATAGATAACTTAAATATTTCTATTTATTACCCATTGGCAAAATGGGTGTTCTTTTGGGTTTGATAGCGTGTACACCTTATTTGGACGTCATCACACTTTTCAACTGTGTTCTAAAGTAATTGTAAACAGTGCGCATGAGTCGCCATCATGCCTTGCTATGGCGACCGCTGCTGTTAGATAATTTTTTTTAGAATTCTTTTTTTTTCCTCATCAGCAGGCATTTTTAACGTGTTTACATAATAATAATATAAAGAAGGGTTCGAAGAACAGCCCGTCCGACGTTCCTCAGCGGTCAAAAATTCCCCGCAGAAACCGAATTTCTCAAATTCTACTTCCGCGCGGACGGCCATTTTCCCGTTAATGTTCATAATACATTTTAAATTTTTGTTATCTTACAAGAGTCTAGCGCCTCACTTCTAAAATGATCCTCCAATCTAGAAATACAGCAACATACTGCGTGTGGTGAAATTGATGTTTCCTTTGTCTGGGAGTACTGCAGCGGTTGAAAGGGTTTTTTCAGCAATGAACTTGGAAAAAGCACATTACGTACTGGTCTTAAACAAGAAGAGTTAAACGCAATTATGAACATCTACCTAAATGGAAAACCCCTTTCAGATTTCTGTGCAGAAACATATGTAAATCATTGACTTGATTGTGGAATTGGCAAACGTCATATTTGATTCATTTAAAAAACGCAGAACTATATATGTGAGTACTTTTACTTTCGTCACTTGTACCGCCGGTACAAGTAAAAAGTACGTACTTTTACTTGTNGAAGCGACGGGTTAGTTTCAAAGGAGGACGGGTACATTGTTGGACAAGCCGTCCTCGGGGACGGGTAAAATTTCTGAGTTCTTTCGAGCCCTGATATAAAGTATTCTTACATTCTTTTTATTATTAAATTTTAATTACTGTCTTATTGACGGTGATTTTAATATAAATATGAATACTGAAGAAGGAAAAGTATTTTGTGACGTCTTGAAACAAGTACATAGGCAGGATATGAAAACCAATCAGACGACAAACATCAAATTGATCACAGTTTTTGCAACCCATGATTTGAAATGTGGTGGCGTTTATTGGAGTTAATCTAGAAAAGAAAAAAAGAATTTGACCCATGGGCGATCGTAATAAAGTGATCACAATTTTTTTTAATAATTTTTCCTCTAATTATTTTTTCACTGAAATTATACATTTTATTTTTATTCTATTCAGTGAAAATCATACCTTATCTATAAGTTACAACTTTCTCCTTTCACCTTTTTATTTAATCTGCTATAACTTTTGTTTGTGAACTATTTGAAATTTTTTACTGTCAACTTTCTTATGCGGTTCTCGTGGTATGATTTGTGATTTGAATCATTATGAAGTCTATTAACAGTGTTCAAAGAAAAAGTTTTTTCCCCCCAATCGTTCTAATCTTTTTCTCTTTTTTTAATCAATACCAACTGTTATGCGGTCTTTTATAATAAACTGTTGCTGAAACTCCACGTACAATAAATTAAATTTAAAATGAAGTTATAATTAAAAGTTTAGATGCAAATAACTGTATGGAAAAATATTTTAAAATTGCTGTTTAATTTTTAAAATACCAAATTAAATAAAAAATGTGTTTGTCAATAAAAAATATAAACATGTTATAAATATTAAACCAATAAATTCACTTAAACAGCATTAATATGTTTTGAAGAATTTTACTTTTTAATTCATTACAAATATTTAATATGTCACACTAGTTTACTTTTAATTCTGGCAATAAAAACACTCAAATGTTTAAATGATATTAAAATCTAGTTTCAAAGATTTTTAACGAAAAAATTATTTAAGTTACAAACAATATTGGTAGTCTAGTTTCATTTCTTTCAGGTTAATATGTTCAATGCAATTTAATTGGTTAAACCTGTAATTTGGGGGGGGGGGCAAAAATAAACACACTTGCTCTATATAATTAATAAATAATATTATGTAAAATTTGAAACAAATAAATAAATTAATTAATTTCAAATTTGCTTACCAAAATCTGCTGTTTTCGTTTTGATTCCATTTATCTCTGCCAATTCTATACAGCTATACTTTCCGTTTTTGCTATCATTATTAATTTGAAAGTATGAAACAAATAAAGTTTTTTAAAAAAAAAAGCAAAAATGGAAGTAACAGATCTGGAGCAATGATACTTCACCGTTCAAACTAGCCACCAATATGGCGACTGTTTACCTAGTGATCGGCGACAGCCAATCTAAATCGACAACGTCACAAAGTAGTGGGTAAAAGAGTGACCTTAAACTGCCTTAAACTAGGTATAGTTCGCTCACCAGGAGTTCGCACTTGGCTCCGCCTTCATCACGTGGTATTCGTCGATAATATGTCGCTATTTTTGAGAGAAGGACGTGAACAATCCTAAACAAGGTTGCGATTTGGCGATCGTATGACAAAAATATTTGTTTCGCAATCCTTATGTGCATTTTTTAACATTAAATATTTCATAAATTTGATAATTTTTCTCTCTTTAGAGCGAATAGCTTGTCCTTTTTAGACATTTTGCTGCAATATATTTAATTACCTAGTGTAAAGAAAGCTATAATAGCAGATGATAAAGCAAAGTAAGTGACTGAAAAAGAGCTCACTGTTTACGTTTGGGGGCGCATTAAGGGTTGTCTCAATTTCAAGCGCGGAGACTTTTCTCCTTTTTTTCTCCCGCTCTGAAATGAACTCTTCGCCCGAGGAGGTGGAGTCAAGTGCCATCTCCTGGTGAACGAACTATAATCCGGGGCTTTAATTCCCACTGTCTGAGAAAAAATCCTATACGCGAATTCGGTTTTATTCGCTTCAATAGATAGGGATTAATTGCAATTGAAGCACATTTCCTGAAACTCAACGTTTTGATCAGTCAAAATTTTTCCTCGGGTAGTTGAAATCTTGAATGAAAAATACTTATAATTTTTAAGTCTTATTTACATTTCACATAATGAAAATAATAAAATGTTCTGTACTATAGAGCATAAAATATCTTTCAAGGAAAAAAAAAAACATTTCGAGTGTCTTTCCCCTTTTACATTTAGTTGACGATCATAAATTTGTCACAATTTCATTCAAAAAGTATTATTTCTAAAGATGACTTTTGAAAACTGTAATGACAGAAAACGTTGTAAAATACTTTGCGAACGGATGTCTCATAAAAACAATAAGAACTGGTTAAAAATATTTTCGGTTAAATTGAAAAGAAAATTTAATTTATTGTTCTTTGTTCGCCTCAGTGGCATTCTATTTGATTACGATATTCTTTCTTCTCTATTTTATTCCCATCTCTTCAACATGAATAAGGTAAGAGTTCTGTCTCTGTTCTTTGCCTGTTTATTTTCACAAAGCCTTAATTTTGAGATGACCTAGCTTAATTATTAAGCTCTTATTATTTTATAACGCATGCTACAACTTAAGTTCGAAAGCTGTTAATATGCTCATTACCTAGCTAGTTTGAGAATTAATTATTAGGCTCTTATTCTTTTATAACGCATGCTACAACTTAAGCTCGAAAGCTATTAATATGTACATTACCCAGCTAATTTGAGAATTAATTATTAAGCTCTTATTCTTTGATAACGCATGCTACAACTTAAGCTCGAAAGCTGTTAATATGCTCATTACCTAGCTAATTTGAGAATTAATTATTAGGCTCTTATTCTTTCATAACACATACTACAACTTAAGCTTATAACGCATGCTACAACTTAAGCTCGAAGGCTGTTAATATGCTCATTACCTAGCTAATTTTAGAATTAATTATTAGGCTCTTATTCTTTTATAACACATACTACAACTTAAGCTTATAACGCATGCTACAACTTTGGCTCGAAGGCTGTTAATATGATCATTACCTAGCCTATTTGAGAATTAATTATTAGGCTCTTATTCTTTTATAACCCATACTACAACTTAAGCTCGAGAGCTGTTAATATGCACATTACCTAACTAATTTGAAGATTAACTATGGTGTTAAGAGGACGCCATACCGAGGATGAAAATTTTCGTCCCAAATTCTCTTTCTCCTTCATTACAAATTTAAAAGAAAGGAAAAGTAAGTTTAGGCAAACCTTGAGTAAGTTATGAGGTTTCAATTACTAAAAAAAAATACTTCAAAATATTAAAAAGCAAACAAATTATTTGAAGAGAACTTGTTCATTAAAGTAG